CAGAAGCCCCACATAATGAGTTACACACAGAGGCCAGTTACGTCGCCCGGATTGGCGTCACCGGGGCCTCACCCTGGAGCCAGGCCTGGGGTGGGTGCTCGTCAGCGAGCGCCTGGTGGCCGGGCCTTTGTCCACGGGGCCCGGCCGGGCTCAGCCCGAAGGAGTGTCGTGGGGCCATCCTCCTGTGGGCCACCACCCACAGGAGGAGCCATATGGGGCCGGTGCAGAGAGATCTGGGCGGCAGTTGACGCTGGGGGCCTCGACAACCGGATCTCCGGACATGGAGACTAGCTCTGGGGACATAGAATGTCACCTCGCTGGGGGGGAAGGAGCCTGAGCTTGTGCAGGAGGTTGAGCATTACCGACTAGATATAGTCGGCCTCACCTCCACGCACAGTTTGGGCTCTGGAACCCAACTCCTTGAGAGGGGCTGGACTCTCCATTTCTCTGGCGTTGGCCGCGGGGAGCGGCGGCGGGCTGGTGTGGGCCTGCTCATTGCCCCACAGCTCAGCCACTGTGTGTTGGTTGTTCACCCCGGTGAACGAGAGGGTCGCGTCCCTGCGCCTTCGGGTCGGGGACAGGTCTCACTGTTGTGTCGGCCTACGGGCCGAACAGCAGTGCTGAGTACCCGGCCTTCTTGGAGTCCTTGGGAGGGGTACTAGACAGTGCATCGACCGGGGACTCCGTTGTTCTCCTGGGGGACTTCAACGCCCACGTGGGCAACGACAGTGACACTTGGAGAGGGGTGATTGGGAGGAACGGCCTCCCTGATCTGAACCCGAGTGGTGTTTTGTTATTGGACTTCTGTGCTAGTCACGGTTTGTCCGTAACGAACACCATATTCGAGCAAAAGGGTGTTCATAAGTGCACGTGACACCAGGACACCCTAGGCCGGAGGTCGATGATCGACTTTGTAGTCGTGTCATCTGACCTCCGGCCGCGTGTCTTGGACACTCAGGTGAAGAGAGGGGCTGAGCTGTCAACTGATCACCACCTGGTTGTGAGTTGGGTTCGCTGGCGGAGGAGGAAGCCGGAAAGACCTGGCAGGCCCAAGCGTGTAGTGAGGGTCTGTTGGGAACGTCTGGCAGAGCCCTCTGTGTCAGAGGGACCTTCAACTCGCACCTCCGGGAGGACTTCTCCCGGATTCCGGGGGAGGCTGGAGATATGGAGTCCGAGTGGGCTTCATTCTCGGCCTCTATTGTCGATGCGGCTGCTCGGAGCTGTGGGCGTAAGGGCTGTGGTGCCTGTCGCGGCGGAAATCCCCGAACCAGGTGGTGGACACCGGAAGTAAGGGATGCCGTCAAGCTGAAGAAGGAGTCCTATCGGGCCTTGCTGGCTCGGGGGACTTCTGAAGCAGCTGACGGGTACCGGCGGGCCAAGCGTCCTGCAGCCCGTGTGGTTGTGGAGGCAAAAACTCGGAGCTGGGAGGAGTTCGGGGAGGCCATGGAGAAGGACTATCGGACGGCCTCAAAGAGATTCTGGCAAACCGTCCGGCGCCTCAGGAGGGGGAAGCAGTTCTTCGCCAACACTGTTTACAGTGCGGGGGGAGAGCTGCTGACCTCGACTGGGGACGTTGTCCGGCGGTGGAAGGAATATTTTGAGGATCTCCTCAATCCCACCGTCACGTCTTCCGAAGAGGAGGCTGAGGTTGGAGACTCGGAGGCGGACTCATCCATCACCCTGGCGGAAGTCACTGAGGTGGTTGGAAAGCTCCTTGGTGGCAAGGCTCCGGGGTTGGATAAGATCCGTCCTGAGTACCTTAAGCCTCTGGATGTTGTGGGGCTGGCTTGGCTGACACGCCTCTTCAACATCGCGTGGCAGTCGGGGACAGTACCTCTGGACTGGCAAACCGGGGTGGTGGTCCCTCTGTATAAGAAGGGGGACCGGAGGATGTGTTCCAACTATAGGGGGATCACACTCCTCAGCCCCGCAAAAGCTGCACCCCTCAGCATGACGCACCCCTCAGAACGCTGCGCCCTGCACTAACGCTAATAACCCTCATCTTAAATCTAACCCTAGTCGTAATCCTCACCATTGACCCAGCCCTAACCCTAAGACTTAACCTAACCCATTAATTTTTCAAAATTTTTGCATGTGTTTATTGAAAGTTTTTAAAAATCAAAGATGGCGGACTTCCAGTTTGTAAAGGGGTGTGGTCACAATATACATTTTTGGTCTTGTTGCCATGATGCATCTGCCTACAAAATTTGGTTTGGCTCCTCCAGGGGTGGGCAAACTATGGCCCGTATTTAATCCGGCCCGCTGAACTTGAATAAATTATAATTAACGACTTTTAATGTCTGGGTCAAACGCACTAGGATGAGTTCGTTCAAATACGAGGACAGGAAATTGTGCCTTTGGCGCCAGGTTGCACAATCAATCCAATATGGCTGACTTCCTGTTGGCTGCCTAGCAACTACGTAATATACTTTTTTGTTCCTATTCCCATGATGCATCTGTGTACCAAATTTGGTTTGGCTACGCCAAAGTTTTTGTTGGCGAGGGCAGATGTTTGGCCTGTTGCCATGGCAACACAATGGGAAATGGCATGGGGTCGTCGTTGACTTTTTTGATCGAGACCATGTCATGAATCTGTGTACCAAATTTTATATGTCTATGACAAAGTACATTTTTGTACTACCATTCAATTTCCCTAGGGGGCGCTATTGCACCCATTTGAGATTTTCTTATATAAATCTGTTAAGGGTCGGGGTGTCAATCAACGATTAAAATTTGAGTGAAATCAGCCAAAGTTTATGTCAGAATTTGTAGATTTTACCAATGGAGAGTTTATGTCATCGCTATGGCAACGTCATATGACATGGGTGTCACTGATTTTGGCATCCTGATCCAAAATGGAATTTTGTGCAAAATTTCAGACATTTTTGAACAACTATTTGGGAGGAAATGATTTTCTCCCATATTAAATTTTGTTTCAATCTATAGGGGGCGCTAGTGAACAAAATTAATAATTTTCACATTAAGTAGCTTCAAGGCAGAGAGTTTATCAACTGTTTCAAATTTCATTGAAATCGGAGTTCGTTTGAGCAAATGGGAGCAATTTGTAAATCTCCTAAATTGTGTGCATTTTTTGTTGCTTCGCTGTTCAGAGACCATAAGACGTGTGTGAAAAATGTGGATAACTTTTGATGTTCCACGTGTTGAGATAATGTGGAACAAATTTGAGCTCGTTCGGGTGAACGCCCTCGGAAGAGTTCGTAAAAGCTTAACAAACTTTAAGCCAATATTACTGCCCCCTAGTGGAGCGCACGGTGTTGGCGTAATAATATTTTTTCCTTGTCTTGACATAATCGACTTCTGTGTCAAATTTCATGATTGTGCATGCAAATTTTTTTTGGTGTCATTCGTATTCCTTAATGCATTTTTGAGTCGTTTGGGGGCGCTGACGAGCCATTTTATTTCTGTTTAGAAAATGGAAATAGCCAAAACGTAGGGAAGCGCGAGTTTTACCAGATGGCAAAATTTCCAGGACTTTTTATTATTGTTTAGTGGGTGAAAAATGGATGAGTTGGTTAGGAGAATAATAATAAGAAGAAGAAGAAAGAAGAAAGAAAGAATAATATTCTGATGCGATGTTCCGCTTTTTTTTGACCGACAAACTATACATTTTCGGAAACCTCAGGCGCATTGCTATGTGATGGCGAGGGTCCCTGGTCACTACGGGCGAGTCACGTCGCGCCATTCCATTTTTCTGCCACTTGGAGCATCGCTTTGCGATACTAATAGGCCCTTCGCCAGCCTCTGGCGCTTGGGCCTAATAATAATAATAATAATAATAATAATACAATTTATCAAGCAATATTGCATGGTCCAGCATACCAAATGCTTTCTGAAGATCCACGAAGATGTTTTAGTTATATCCATTATTGTAAAATAATTAGAACGAAATCTATACTGGTTATTTGACAGAATGTTATATTTGTTGATGAATTTATTGAGTCTGGGAGCAAAAAGTTTTTCCAAGACTTTAGAGACTTGTGGAAGTAGAAATATGAGTGAATAATTGGTGATTTTTATTGCCTTTATTGAAATACTCCTCTTGTCAGTGACAAATTACAGATATAAAAAAATGGCTTAACAACAACATTAATAATTTTCTTAGTAAGTAACATGTTTATATCTGTGAATTCAATAGATTTTTAAATTTCACATTGTTGTACAATAGTTAATATCTCATTCCTATGAACTCATTCAAGAAAAACACTATTAGGTAGGTAGGTAGGTAGGTACAGCAATGACACCCCATGTATCTTTTGTGCGAATAAATTACTGAAATTGTTTTTTTGTTTTTTTTTTATGTTTTTGTTTTCTTATAATGCCTACCAGTTTATTTTTGTAAAACCACTCGGTCACCAACCCAAAGGTCTGGGGTTCACACCCTGCCTCACTATACTATTATTGTTGTGTCCTCGGGAAAGGCACTTCACACAACTTATGTATGAATTTTATGTGTGCGTGTAGGTGATGGTCGGAAGGGCTGAAGGACATATAAGCAGTGTTGCTTCATTAGGACTGTAGGCTATATATAAACATACAATCTGTGGTCTAACCCAGAGAACCTGTGGGTACAGGAGTATCTTACTACAATCGAGTGTGGAGTGAATGGATAATGATAGTATTTTCAGAGGTTTTGTCAAGTCTGTAAAGCACTATACAAGTGTAAGGCATTATCATTGTGTCCTTGGGAAAAACAGAACTCACCCACTAGGCTGAGTGCAAGCATGGCTTTTTAGCAGCCATTGTTCTAAATTCAGCAAAATCAAGATATTGAATACATTAAAATAGTGTTCATGAATCCATGGATTTATACCATGTACTGTTATTGTTAAGGAGGAACAAAAAAAAAAAGAAAGAGATGATACGAACAGGCAGAATGGGATAAAGTCCGTCATCATGTTTATAATTATATCCGCACAAACATCCAGAAGATGGCGGTAATGCACCTAAAGCAACGACAGCCGTCTTCAAACTCTATAGAAGAAGGAGGTGTTTCCGCCCACGTCTGTGTGGCGCAAACACGACTTTAGCCAACAACAAATTAATCGAATTTCAGAGCTAAAGAGATCGTGTCTGCCTTCTTTTGATATATATATATATATATATATTCTGGGGAAAATCATTTGTAACGTTTCAAAGCATGCCTTCGTTCAACGGAAAAGCTGACGTGACGTTTGTAAGTTTAATTTTCCAATATATTATGCTTTAGCAAGCAGCGCTAGCTTAACGTTGTGAGCATAGAGTGTATACATGATTGTAAGAACATTTAAAGCTAGTTTTATTTTTTTTTTTAAAAATCAAAATTATATAAATAAAAACAGTATTGTTAATGTTATCTGATTGTGTTTCGCTTGATGTTTAACAGATTTCCTTAACAGACTCTTTTGGTCAATATGTATTGTAATTTGATGGAACTATCTTTTAAAATCGACTACAAGCAATACAGTCAGTTTTAAGAGGTTACGGTTATTGCGCGTATGCAGCCACTGTTGACCTTCATGATCACGTCATTATGTTGATTCGTTTTGCATCCCGTTATAGGAAGATGACGATCTACCATACGAAGAGGAAATAATCAGGAACCCCTACTCTGTAAAGTGCTGGATGCGTTACATCGAGTTCAAACAAAATGGACCCAAAACAACTCTGAACATGATTTATGAACGTGCTTTGAAAGAGCTCCCGGGCAGGTAAGCATAATTTCGGTGCCACCTTATTTGATTTAATGTTGGCTTTGTTTGAGTCTTAATCCATGTGTTATATAGTTACAAGCTGTGGTACAATTATCTAAAGGAGAGACGTAAACAGGTCAAGGGAAAATGTGTAACAGAGCCAATTTATGAAGAAGTCAACAACTGCCACGAAAGAGCACTTGTTTTCATGCACAAGGTAATTTTATATATTTTTCTCTATCTCTCTATCTATCTATATTTAGAGAGAGATTGAGAGAGATTTAGCCTGCTCAATTTGTACTGTTAATTTTTTTTCCCACATAGATGCCTAGAATTTGGCTTGACTACTGCCAGTTCCTTGTTTCCCAATGTAAAATCACAAGAAGTCGGAGGACATTTGATCGTGCCCTAAGAGCTCTGCCAGTTACTCAACACCCACGAATCTGGCCTTTGTATCTGCGATTTGTTCGTAATCTACCCCTCCCAGAAACAGCTATTCGAGTGTACCGGAGATACCTAAAGGTAAATCGCTGCTGTTAACAATTATCTTGCAACATTTACTCTCATGTAAATTTGTTGAAATAGCAGAATTTCTTCAAACTGTTCATGTTGTCCATCAGCTATCTCCAGAGAACGCAGAGGAATACATAGATTATTTGCGCTCTGTTGGGCGCTTGGATGAAGCTGCTTTGCGACTTGCTGACATTGTTAATGATGAAAGCTTTGTATCCAAGGAGGGCAAGTCAAACTATCAAGTATGCTGAACTCTTTATGCAAGGGGTTTCTTTACAGCGCTTTTGTTCATTTTGCGCAAATGTTTTTATTTTTTTCAGCTGTGGCATGAACTGTGTGACCTTATCTCCCAGAATCCTGATAAAGTTACATCTCTGAATGTTGGAGCAATTATCCGAGGGGGACTTACCCGATTCACTGACCAACTAGGAAAACTTTGGTGCTCCTTGGCAGATTATTATATAAGGAGTGGGCACTTTGAAAAGGTTTGTTTATATCTAAATACATTGGTTTTCAGAAAACATGCATCAGGTTTGATACTTGATTTACTTTTTACAGGCTCGTGATGTGTATGAGGAGGCCATTCTTACTGTGGTAACAGTTAGAGATTTCACACAAGTATTTGATAGTTATGCACAGTTTGAAGAGAGCATGATTGCAGCCAAGATGGAAACCACTGTTGAAATGGGCCAAGATGAAGAGGGTGAGATTAACACACATTTATTAGTAATTTGTAGTAAAAGGCATAGATAAGATCATTTGATTGTTAGTAATGTTTTTTTCTGCTTGGACATATTCTCTGTAAGTATTAAGTCATTAGCATTTTTAATAATAATAATCAAAAGAAAAATATATAAATATTAGGGTTGGGCAAAAATAAAAAAATGTAATCGCGATTAATCGCATGAGTTCGAGTGATTAATCGTGATTAATTGCATGTTATACGCAAAACCAATTAATGAATTAAAAAGTAGAGTATAGCGCTCTTTTATTGGAAATGTAAATGAAAGAGCCATACATTTGTTGTGCAAACAGCATTTCTTTCACAGGGGAATCCTCAGAGCCTTCAAGGTGTTCTGAAGGCTCAAGAAAAAATATTGAATGGACGATTGTACTACTAATATATTTATTGAATATTTTTTATGCTGTGAGTAATGAACACTACACTAGTAATAATTTCTAGATCACTGTTATAAACTTGGACTGATATTTCTTAGGAAACAAAGGGTTAATATAATGGAATGGAAATGGACCAATCACATTTTTTCTTCCAATGGTATCTGGGTAAATCAGTTACTCCAATACTGAACTAAAGAAATAAGATCAGCTTAGAGCCGGTGCCCGCGGCTGAACCGGCGGCCGGAGCCGCGACGGGAGTCGGAGCCTGCGGCCGAACCTGTGCCCGCGGCTCGCGGAGGTTCGGGCACGTTGCATCTCACGTGGCCAGAAAAAATGGAAAAAAGTGTCAAGAAAAGACGTCAAACTTAAAGAAACGCTCGCGGTGGACTTTTTCAAAATAAAAGCCAGTGAGAAACAGACGTTTACAATAAAATAAATAAATAAATAATAAAAACTGCGCTAATGCCGTTAAAATAATTGTCGGCTTTAATGACTTAATTAGTTAACGCAAAGTTAACGCGTTAACGTGCCCGGCCCTAATAAATATAAATCATTATTATGCCCCACACTAACCATAATAACCAACCAACCATGACTCTAGTTCTGAGCCTAACATTACTAACCCTAAACATAGCTTAAACCTAACCCTAGTTGTAACCCTAACCATAGCCCCAGCCCCAACCCTTACCCTAACTCCTAACCTAACCCTGCCATTTTTCTAAAATTTGGCACATGTTAATAAAAAAATTTTTTTTGTGTGAAATCGGCCAAAGTTTGTGCCCTTCGCCAGCTTCTGGCACTTGGGCCTAATAATAATATTATTATTATCATTATTATTATTATTCATTAGTATGATTATTCATTATTACTATTAGTGGTACACGACTATTATTGTAATAAGCACTAGGTGGTGAATATCCACTAGCATACCAAATTACCACTTAATTAGCAATTAATATGTGGTTCCTCAAGTAAAATGATATCATAGACTAAATAATTCTGGTTTGTGCACATGGCATTACATACTTTCTGTTTTTTTTTTTTTTTTTTCCCCCCAGATGATATTGATTTAGAGCTTAGATTAGCTCGTTTTGAACAACTTATTGCTCGTCGTCCTCTTCTTCTGAACAGTGTTCTACTTCGTCAAAATCCACACAATGTTCATGAGTGGCACAAACGAGTGAAGCTTTGTGAGGGCAATCCACGGCAGGTAACACTGGGACAAAATCTGAATTAGTTTTTGTGTTTTTGTTATTTTAAATATAATATAAAAACTTGCAGATTATTAACACCTACACTGAGGCTGTACAGACAGTTGACCCAATAAAAGCCACTGGAAAGCCTCATTCACTTTGGGTTTCCTTTGCAAAGTTCTATGAAGAAAACGAGCAGTTGGATGATGTAAGAGATTTTCTTTTTTTTTTGCAAGGACATGGACATTAATTACACTCGCAATTATGACTGCACATTTTACTTAGGCCAGAACGATCTTTGAAAAAGCTACTAAAGTGAACTACAAACAAGTGGATGACCTGGCAGCAGTCTGGTGTGAATATGGAGAAATGGAACTGCGTCATGAAAACTATGAGCAGGCCCTGCGCATACTGAGGGTTAAATTTTACACTATACTCGATCAGTGATTTTATTCTGATGATAGGAAGTCTATAATAAAAAAATGTGTGTAACATATTTGTACATTTTTGACATGTAGAAAGCAACAGCAATTCCATCCAAGAAAGCAGAATACTTTGATGCCTCTGAGCCTGTCCAGAACAGAGTCTATAAGTCCTTGAAAGTGTGGTCTATGCTGGCTGATCTTGAAGAGAGTCTGGGAACATTTCAGGTTTGATTAATTTAAACATTAATTTAAAGTGTTTGTTTTAATTGATTGTTCTTTGATCTTATTTCCCTTTCTTCCCTTTTTCTTTAGTCCACAAAAGCTGTATATGACCGCATTATTGACCTTCGCATTGCAACACCACAGATCATAATCAATTATGCCATGTTTCTTGAAGAGCACAACTACTTTGAAGAAAGCTTTAAAGTAAAGCTTATTATGTTGAGATATTTTACAACTGTTGTGCTTTTATCTCAAAATTCTTTTTTATTTTGTTTTGTTTTTTAGGCATACGAGCGTGGTATTGCCTTGTTTAAGTGGCCAAATGTTTATGACATTTGGAACACCTACCTTACCAAGTTTATTGACCGATATGGTGGGAAGAAACTGGAGAGGGCAAGAGATTTATTTGAACAGGCCCTTGATGGCTGCCCAGCAAAGTTTGCAAAAAGTGTGCTTTGTTTAGTTTTTAAAAAATATTTTTCTTCTTCCATCATCTACTTTTATTTATTTATTTTTTAAACTTACAGCCATTTACCTACTTTACGCCAAATTGGAGGAGGAGTACGGATTAGCTCGCCATGCCATGGCTGTTTATGAAAGAGCTACAGAGGCAGTAGAAATTGAGGAGAGGCACCACATGTTCAATATTTACATTAAGAGAGCAGCTGAAATTTATGGAGTCACCTATACAAGAGCAATCTATCAGAAAGCTATTGAGGTACTGGTATTTTTGTCTGTGTTCAGAATTTCCAAAAAATCTGTGAATGCTGTAAAATTTGTGTAATAATTCTGAAAAATATTTAAGGTCTTACCTGATGAACATGCAAGAGACATGTGTCTTCGTTTTGCTGATATGGAGAGTAAACTGGGTGAAATTGATCGAGCCAGGGCAATCTTTTCCTATTGCTCACAGATTTGTGATCCCAGGGTATGTTAAGACACTTTTTAATGTTTTTAGAAAGGGAATTTGAAACTCTCTTTGAATCTCTTATTGTCCTTTCAGGTGACAGCTAATTTCTGGCAAATGTGGAAGGAGTTTGAAATTCGTCATGGAAATGAGGATACAATTAGAGAAATGTTAAGAATCAAACGCAGTGTCCAGGCCACCTACAATACTCAGGTCAATTTCATGTCCTCTCAAATGCTGAAAGCCACTACAAGCTCTACAGGCACAGGTATTGTATAGATTATAACAGTATAATAATTATTTACATAATTTACAATAGAATTAAAAATACATATTTAAATAAAGCTTTGTCTGTAGTGTCTGATCTTGCTCCTGGCCAAATGGGTATTGACGACATGAAAATGCTGGAACAAAAGGCACAACAGCTAGCAGCAGAGGCTGAGCGGGATAAACCTAAACCTAAAGAAAAGATCCTCTTTGTCAGGTTTGTTTGTCTGCCACAAATGATGGGTTGCTATTTTTTTAAGATGGAAATTGAAAGAAAATAATCTGCATAGCACTTGAGCTCACATTTCTTATAAGATGTTACTACGTTTTCACATGTTGCCAACTTAATTAATCCACACAGTGCAGTAGTGTGAAAGTCGCCATGGAAAAAGTATTGGACATGTGGAGAAAGGGTGATGCAAAATGGCACAAAAAGCCACAGAAAGTCTGAAAAGTATATGCATAGATTACAGAAGGCTTTCTAAACTTGCAGACTTAATTTTATAGTGAAAATGATGCACCCAAGATTTCTGACTGAGAGAAAACACCTGTAATACATACAACACTTTTGCAATTGTATTTTAGCAAAGCTTGGACCCAATTGAAACTACATACACTTATGTTTTAAGTTTTTGAGGATAATGTTTGATCCATGACTATAAGGTTGCTAGAATTTAGAAGTTATAGATAAAAAAAACCTAATACATATACACTTTTTGTGTGTAGGAGTGATACTTCACGTAGCGAGCTAGCAGAACTTTCCAAACAAGTCAATCCAGATGAAATTGACATAGATGATGAAGACGATGATGACGATAATCAAGGTCCAGATGGTAAGAAATGCATGCACATTGTTCAGTGGCACTACCTGCTTTGTGTTGATTAAATGCCACTTATGGTATTGTATTATCTTCACTGTGCCTATTTTACCACTACAGAAGTGCAACTTGAACAGAAGAGTGTCCCAACAGCTGTCTTTGGTGGGCTTAAAGATGATTAAGATGAACAATTGATGCAGTACTATCTGTAACCTACCTGTAATCTGTAATAGCTTTTTTCACAATTAATATTGCACTTCAAGTCTAAGTTACAGATAATAAATTCTGCATAGATGGTATGTTGACGCAGTGAGAAGACCTTTTTGGTGCCTTTTCTCAGGAGTTTATGGAATGTAAAAATATACACCGAAAGTGGGATCTTCCACAAAAATAGATGAGGTGGTCATAGTTTTACGTAAATGTGTCTAGGAGATAAGATTGTCTAAAATTGGACCTTTGGGAAGTTTTGTGTTTCCTCCCATTAAATAAAACAACCCAGCAATTTTGTAACTTAACCTGGTTAAGTTATACAAACCTGTGTTTCTCATTCTTAATAAACTAACGTGTACAATGTTCTTGTATAAATCAACTTTTCATTATCAGCATGCATTTGATTTGATTTGGACAAATGTTAAAGAAATTATATTTTTTTATACCACAATATATATTTTTTATTTGTGTGCATTCCATAACATTAGATTTAGATGATACCATGTAACCAGTAGGGCTGGGTGATAATGGCCATAAAATTAAATAATTTTTTTTTGTACACACTGGATGATTACATTTTGAATCAATTCGAATCAAAGTCAGAGCAGTGACTGCTAGTGTTTCAAACGGGAAGCACTGTAGCACCTGTTTCATAATTTCCTTTCTTATATGGTATCATTTAAGGAATCATAAACTGCCTTCAATTAGGTTTGCATAAATAAGTAGTCTAATCATTTCAGTTAGAATGAGATTTCTTTGCACCATAATCCTGCTTTCAAGAGTAAACCTGTTTCATAATAATCAGTCAAAATAGATTAATATGCCAGTCTCTGTAACCAGTCTGACCTTTACCCTACCCCCTTATTTTGTAATTTGCATTCAGGGCTGTAGAGAGCTAATTGTTAGGAGGTTCTGGTGTGAATGTATGATGCATGTGGAAAAAATAATGCCAATATATGAAATGTCATACCAAATATGCAAACATTTATACTGCTGGCATCTCTTTAAATAAAAGCAAAAACGTAAGAGAATATTTTTTATTTTTTTATTTTCAGTGGCACCTCAAATGCTTCATATTTTATGAACATTGAGGGGAGAATCACTCTTACTCCGACTCCGCCTGTAGAATACAAAATGTTTGTTTACAGATGTAGAGTGGTATTAATCTAGTATTTAGTAGTTTACAATAGCTGTTTCTCAAATGCAAGGGGTTGGCCTGATGTGGGTTTGGTAAGATGTCCAGGTCATGTTCCAAATGTTCATGTCCTTCTCAGGCATGTGTCCTCCATTTGGTTAGCATGCAGCTGCTTTACCAAGAATATAGTGCATCCTTTGCTTTCTTTGCACTGGTAAATTACCCACAATGCACCAAGATAATTAAGGAGATGGATCTTAATTGCTTTAAATTTATTATAAATAAATAACTAAAATAAAAAATCTATCTCACTTATTCCCCCAAAAGGGTAGGGACCCTTTTATATTTCGTAGAATGCTCCCATTGACCATCTTGCGAAGTCCTACTGTTAACATGTTATTTTGTGTGAATCTGGGGCTGCTGCTCATTCTCTCTGAAGCATGTTCTATTAGCTGTCTGTTTGGAAGGAACTGACTACAGAGGCGATGTAAGGTACCTTGCATTTGAAAAGAAGCCTGTATCATTTAACTTGTTTCAAACAAGTCCTACTACCTTTCCAGCATCGCGGCTCTTTGCTCTGAGCTTGTTGACCTGAGTCTCCGCAATATCAGCACGCTCCTGAGCCTCTTCAAGTTCATGTTGAACCTTCCTGAGTCTGGACATGTGGCCATTGGCCTGCTCCTCCTGTTAATGCAAGTTGCATTGATTATGAGGTCCTTAGAAAGTTTACACATGCCTAATGTGTGTGTGTTTTACTTACAGCCTCCTCAGCCTGTCTCTTGTAGGCTTTAACTTTGAGCTGAAGTTTATCCACCAGATCCTGAAGTCTGTTCACGTTTTTCTTGTCCTCTTCAGTCTTTAAGCAAATGTGTGAAAAAGTCAATGCATGCTTCTATCATTTCAGCTTTATAATAAGTCTTTATTTATATAGTGCTTTTCACAAACATTTTTGTCACAAAGACGCTTTACAGAGCATTACATTCAGCATTATTCATTCACTCTATACCTGGTGATGGTAAGCTACTGTTGTAGCCATAGCTGCCCTGGGGCAGACTGATAGAAGTGCAGCTGCCATGAGAATCGGCGCCAACAGTCCCGCCGACCACCACCATCACTCACGCACACACAGGCAATGTGGGTGAAGTGTCTAGCCACTAGCACCAGTGCTAATTTCCACCTGTAGTCCCTGGACAGTTTCACTGATTGTATTTAACTGACCTTGACTATCAACTGTTCTTGGAGACCTATGCAGCATGTTTTGGGTTGATGGGGGAAACCAGAGCACCCAGAGGAAACCCATCCAGACACAGGGAGAAACATGCAAACTCCACACAGAAAGGCCCGGGGATCAAACCCGGAACCTTCTTGCTGTAAGGCTAGCCACTCAGCCATCGTGCCGCCATAATAAGTGGTACTTCACTAGCCATTCACAGCACATTTCCAGGTGCACATTGACAAAGTAAATTTACCTGGAGAACTACAGTAATTACCTGGTAAGTTAGCTCTTTTACTTTCCTCTCATATTTGCGGACTCCCTTAACGGCATCAGCTCCGCGCCTCTGCTCAGCTTCTACTTCTGCCTCAAGCTCACGCACCTTTTAAAAGAAAAAAATTATGTATGACTTGTTACAGTGAATTTCAAATAAAAAAATGATTCACACACACCCTAGACTCCAGCTTCTGGAGCTGCTTCTTGCCGCCCTTCATGGCCAGGTTTTCAGCCTCATCCAGACGGTGCTGCAGGTCCTTGACAGTGACCTCCAGGTTCTTCTTCATCCTCTCCAGATGAGCACTGGTATCCTGCTCCTTCTTCAGCTCCTCAGCCATCATGGCAGCCTGAAATGTTGGTCATTGTAAATTTGTTCTGCTATAAACACACTGTGTTTAAATCAGTGAGCTCACATCAGTGATGGCCTTTTTGGCTTTCTCTTCAGCATTTCTTGCTTCTTGAACGGTGTCATCCACTTCACTCTGAACCTGGACCAGATCAGACTCCAGCTTCTTCTTGGTGTTCAGAAGACTGGTGTTCTGTTTGATAAAGATATATTTGGTTTATATTTTCTGTTGTGCATTATCTACATTGCTGATTCCAAAACCCAACCTGAGAATGAAGCAGTCCAACACGCTCACTAGCATCCACCAACTCCTGCTCAGCCACTTTACGTCCTCTTTCTGTCTGCTCCAGAGCAGCTCTCAGCTCCTCAATCTCAGCCAGCATCAGGCCATTTCTGCGCTCCACCATGGCCACCTGCTCCTTCATATCTTCCTGTCCCCTGACGGCATCATCAAGGTGCAATTGGGCATCCTGGTAACAGAAAAAACATTGTTTCATATACCTTTAAAAAACAAAATATGAAAGATTTAAAAATATTTTTTACCTTGAGCTGGCCCTGGACATTCCTGAGCTGTTTTTGGGCCTCAGCTGCCTGTCTGTTGGCATGGCTCAGCTGAATCTCCATTTCGTTCAGATCTCCCTCCATCTTCTTCTTTACTCTAAGGGCATCATTCCTGCTCCTGACCTCAGCATCCAGAGTGCTCTGCATGGAGTCAATGACTCTCTGGCTGTTCCTCTTTATCTGCTCCATCTCCTCGTCTTTCTCTGCAAGCTTCCTGTCAACTTCACCTTTGACCTGGTTGAGCTCCAGCTGGACACGGAGAATCTTGGCCTCCTCATGCTCCAGTGTTCCCTAGATATAGTATGTTGATACTGTAATAAATTTACTTTCCACGCAAAAATGTATATTTTTACCTCAGCTTCTTCAAGAGCAGTCTGGATTTCTGCCTTTTCAGTCTCAACTGTCTTTTTGGCCTTCTCCAGCTCATGAATGCTTTTTCCAGTTTCACCAATCTGTTCAGTCAGGTCAGAAATCTCCTCTAGAAGGTAACAAAATAGCATAGCAATAGTGTTATTGTGTTGTTTTATCCTAAATTGACAGAGTAAAAGTAATGGTGTAAGAATAAGCCATTACATTTTTTTGTTTCAATCAAAATATTAACTTTTCACTTTACAGGACCCCTGCATAACGGCCATAAATCTTTGTTTTGTCATGTAATGCCAATTTCGCTAGAGTATGTTATAGATTACAAAAACATAAACTTTGGGTGGTTTCCAAACCCAAGTGCCATCAGAATGTAGCTGTGAAAGTTTGAAAGTTTTTATTTGTTTTATTGCACATAAATGTATTTAATATAAGTAAAAAAAGGTTTGTTGGATAATGGTTAAGTACGTACGCTGCAGGTTCTTGTTCTCTCTCTTCAGGGTTTCCAGATGATCCAGGGCCTCCTCATAAGAGTTCTTCATCTTAAAGAGTTCAGTGCTCAGAGAACGAGCCTCCTTCTGGGCTCCCTCCAGTTCAGCTTGGCCCTCCTCATACTTCTGCTTCCACTCTGCCAGAACCTGAAGAATTTTATGTTTAGATAAAATATATATTCCCCATTAACATGTTTTAAGATATATTTTTTTACCTTGTCGAAGTTCCTCTGCTTCTTGTCCAGATTGGCAGCCAAAGCATTAGCTCTTTCCACATCAATCATGAGGTCCTCCACCTCACCCTGCAGCCTCTGCTTAGTCTTCTCCAAAGAGGCACACTTGGAGTTCACAGCCTCGATGGATTCCTCAGCCTCCTGCAGACGCTGGGCCAGCTTTTTCCTGTGATAAAGGAATTGAAGAACAAATCAGATTAAAAAAATAAAAAATCTCTGGAAGTCAATATTCAGAAGAATTGTCCTACTTACTTGGCCTCCTCCAGCTCCTCAGTGCGCTGAATAGCATCAGTCTCATACTTGGATCTCCACTGAGCCACTTCACTGTTGGCCTTGGACATTCCTCTCTGCAGCTCGGCCTTTGCTTCCTGCTCCTCTTCAAACTGCTCTCTGAGCAGATCACAGTCATGACGGGCAGACTGTACAGCATGAGCCAGGGCGTTCTTGGCCTGTGGAAATGTATTGTCAATGTAGTGGTCATTCATTTCTATACACCAACTTTTTTTTAAAATTTTATTTTACATACCTTGACTTCTTCCTCAACATGTCTCTTCAGCTCTTCAATCTGCTGAGTGAAAGCCTGCTTGCCTCTGGTCAGCTGAGAAACAAGAGCTTCCTTCTCTTCAAGTTGACGAGCAAACTCACCTGTATTACACAGCATAATTTAGTATTCACACACAACCCAGTTTGAACAAGTTTTCAGGTTTGAGACTGTTACCATTCTCTGTCTGGAGTCTTGCTTTCTGA